TATATATTGAAGTATGAATAGCATGTTAATAAAATTTATTTAAAGTTATATTGAAGTATTGTAGGAACCCTAAGAGTGTGTCTTGTAAATTACAATTTGAGCAAAGAAGAAGATGAATAGTAATGAATTAATATAAATAAAATTGTTTTGAGTTTCTAATGATTCCAATAGAATTGATAACTTATTTGATGACCAAATTGAAGTGAAAATCACCATTTGGATAAGAAGCAACACTATTTCTTGAAATGGATGTTCTTGAACTTAGAATTTTGTTGGAGAAAATAATGAATAATCACTTGATGATGTTGGATAATACACTTAGTACATATCATTAATGACTCTAAATGAGTATTAAATAATAAAAATTAAATTGAATAGGCTAATGGGTGAACCTATTGGATAAATTGGGATGGTTGAAGGCTCGTTGCCGACTTGTGAAGCTTAAATGAATATTTATAAATCTTTCGGGTTGATTTTGATATAGTTGGCATATTTATTGGTAGATGTCGAATTGTTGGTCACATTTGAGCATTTTAATCAATCGGAGCAGGAAGTTTGAGGTAAGTTGATTAAAACTTACTCTTATTGAGAGATTCTCTCTAAAAGCTGAATTGATACATGATAATTTTTGTAAATGCATCCTTAATTGTCGGGACAAGTGGAAAGGATATCACCATGTGTTTCTAAGTTATGTCGCTTATGAATTGTCATGTGATTTTATAAATTTTATTTTCAGAACTTGTTAGCAAAATAATACTTAAGAAAAATATTATGCGTTTTATTAAAATTTATAAGAGTATCATATGTTTGAGTGATAAAGATGTATTTTCATGGACAAACACGTCTTTTGAAATTTAAATAATGAAGTAGTACTTGTTGTATCTTTAAATGATTGATGTTAAATTGCTAAAAGCATTAACATGAAAAAGGTTATTCATTTGATTTTGTTCAAATGGTTTGGATTGGCTATGAAAATCACGATTTGGATGAAAAATAGATCCTTTGAGGCTATTAGGTTATGAATCTATTTTGATATATCAAATATTTTAGGAGTTACTAGTGGAGACCATCGAGATTGGTTCAAATGCTGAATTTATTACCATGGAAATACACGTGTCGGTGTAGGTACATATTCCAAGGCTAAGCTAAGATTTGTGGGATAAGCCCCCTATTGTGCGGGCAAATGATCATTACTTAAAGTAATGAGGTTAAGTCAACTCGTACAGCACTACGGAAAGTCGTCCAGACAAGTTGGGTCAAATACTTGTTGCTAGTTTTTTACCTAGTAGTTGTTTATTATGTCAATATCGGTAGTACTCGCGGTAAAATATAATAATTTTTTTAGTTTAGGTCTAAGGAGCCAAAAGAGATTTCAATGACTTAATGCAATTAAAATGGTTTATGTGATTTTTATTAAAATCTTGGATTGATATAAAAATTTTAAAAACTTATATCATAGTTTACCTTTTATTTGCCTTTTCATTTAAAATGTTAAGAAGCATGATTTATATAACTGTTTATCACTTTATATCAAATATTAATTGCATAATTTTTTTTTGGTATAATCTTGTCCCAGGAGCTTGAGTGAGAGAGAATATTTGACACTTATTAACTATTGTGGTGTACTCAACTCTCAGGGACCCTAGGGGCCCACTTGACATATTTCAAGATGAAATATGATACGTGACATGCGAACATGGTTAGAATGACTCTCTTTCTGAGGTATATGGTGAGACACCACTCCTATTTTGTGATAGTTATCATGTTATTTTCTTAATTTATGTTAGTCGAGTGTTAGCCCAAGTGTTTAGTTTTATTCTTTGGTATAAAGACTCCATAGATAGTTGTGAAGAGTAGTAGTAATGGGATTAGACACGACGTACATAAAAAAATATTTATTTTACTTAATCTTATTATTATTATTATGAGATGCTTCATGTATTGTTGAATTGAAAAAATATTCTATTATTTAATTTGAAAATATATATTATGATTTTCAAAGAGTTTTCGAAATTAAATTGGTTTTAATATATATGGTTTTCATTCAGATAGTGTGCTGGTACTGGTCACGTGTGATTGAGTCGTGACAGGTGATAAAAAGGCATAAGAATTATTTTTTAAAATAGTTCAACCAACCAAACAAATAGAAATTTTCATCCCAAGCATACACAGACGAACGCCCTCTTACTCTTAACTAAAACCCCTAAAAAAAACCTTGATTTGATTTGGGTCCTCTGGGATTGTGATTCAAGACATGGATAATTCGCGTCCGAACCTGCTGGAGGAAGCGCTAGTGGAGGATGGCATCGGCAGTGTAAAGATCCAAAAGCGGGGGCGAGTGGTGGTGGTGGAGGATTGTGTTGAGACCAGCGCCGCTTTCGTGCTCCACCATTTCCTTAAGCGCTCTCTCCAACCTGACTCCTCTGATGTCGTCGTTTTCATCGCCTTTGCCCACCCTTTCTCTCACTACGAACGCATTCTCCGCAAAATGGTCAGCTTCCTCTCTGTCTCTCTCCATGGCATGGCATGGTTGTGTTTATTTATTTGTATGAGAAAAAAAAAATACTTACCGGTTTACGCGGATAATTAATTTGTGTTTTTACCTCAATTTATCACTTAATTATTGTAAATTAACATACTTTGCTGCATTCAGAGAGTTGGGTAACTATTTTCTCTAATTTGTAGAGACTCTAGTTTACTCTTTTTTGTTTTTCCTCTTCTATACGTTTATAAAAAAGAGTAGAATTAAAATGAGATGTGTGTATTACTCTGTTATGTTTCGGAGGCAGCTTTTCAAAATCATTTTAGGAAGAGGAGTTATGGAATTAGAATTTGGCATTTGATGTGTTTGGAACCTCACTGATGGCTTTTAAGTTTTAGCAATAGCAAGTGTGATGGTTTTTAAGGGGGTGGTGAAAGGAAATGGGTATAATAGCCATAGATAAATTCATTTCGATGCTCGTATAAGCTCTATGCTGGATTTTATGTATCTCCAACATCCTTTCATACTATTAACTGGATTTTTGAATTCACGTGGACTTGAAATGCGGCTTTTTGAGTGTGAGAAGGGGTTTCCTTAGATGAGGTTGGAGATTAAAGAGATATGTGAACAGACTTGTCATTGTTATTAAATTGTTGTTGACATTTAAGATATAATACCAGTAGATGCACCCAGTGAAGAGGATCACACGGATAGGGCGGCAACAAGCGAAGGGAAGTTAACAGGCATAGTTCTAAGGACCACAAAAAAAGGGAAACACTGAGTCTAAATAATATTAATTGTAAAGTTTGTTGATCTCAAATTCCAATGCAGAGATCATGCACATTGCTAGTTGTTTTTCTATTCTAGATGCTTTTGCTGGTGATTTGAGAATTGGCTAGAAAGAACTGAACTTTGATATGGCAAATATAATGCAAGAAGAAAGCTTATAGGTAGGGTCTGTGTTTATGTTGTTTCCTACCTTTTAGGCATAAATGTTAAGCTGCTGCATTTCCTGGAACTTGTTTGAGATTTGTCTTGTAAGAATGCCGTAATCGTCCAAGATCCATTCGAGATTGCTATTTCTGTAAAGTTAGCCCTTTCATCCTTCTAGTGAAATGAATGTTTTCAGTAAAAGCTTGAGGAAATTTTCAAATTTGTTGGAGTGTCTCTTAGCTGGTACAATGAATTCTGAGAATATTTATCATTTCCTCTATGTAAAAATGGGAATGATTTCCCCATTAGGAAGATCCTTCCTTTTAGCTCAAACATCCTAGCTTTTCCTTTAAGTGATCAAAATTCAGAAACTTCTCCGTGATGTCTGATCATATTTAACAGTATTGGGATCAGTTTTTTGATTCTTTGTATATTTTTTATGCTCTATTGATCTATCAAACAATGCACAATCTGTTGTCAATTCATGTAAAATAGTCGTGCTGGTTTCAGTTCTCAGTTCTTCCATGTTTTGTCTCAGCAACAGTTGTGTGCAGCTAAATTTAATTAAGCAAACTTCCTCATGGACTGGGACTGTACTCAGATTTGCTTGACATCTAGCATCATCCTTTACTGGAGGATATATGTTCCGGAGTTTTTAAAATTCCAAGTTCTTGTTTTTCATTTCAGTAATTTTAATGGATATTTAATCCTGCATACTTGTAAAGCATCTCAGTCCTTTTTCCTCTTTCCTGAACAGGGTTGCAACTTAGCTGTGCAGAGGAAGAATCAGAGGTTCTTATTTCTTGACATGCTTATACTGGAGTGTCCAGGTGAAGATGTCAAGCAGCATAGATTAACTTTAATGATATTATTGTTTGCTATTTTCGTGTAATCTTGCTTTGCCCATGTCTTGACAGTAGTCTTTTTGTGTATACGTTTAATAAGAATTTTAGGTACCATTAAAGAGGAGATTAAAGGACCTAAGTTCAAGTGATTATTAAAAAAAAAGGACCTAAATTCAAGTGATTTAGTTTTAAAAATGTTTTGGTGCTGCTTGTCCATTTTGAGAACTTGATTCTTAGGAATTTGGGAACTCAGGCATCTCTATGGAATAAATAGAAAAAAGTGGTTCTAAATTGCACTCAGAAGAGTTCATTATAACGTCACATGTACACTGCCGTACTTTTTTGTGTCTAAACAATCTGTTCTTTATGTGAATGATCTTAATCTACTGAACTGTCCATCTTTATTTGCCCCTCTTAGTTTGATGCACTCAATTCATAATTAGACAGAAATGGAGGGGAAGCAAAAGAAGATGGATTGCTTACATTGTACGGGGAAATTGAGAAAGCAGTAGAAATATATTCGTCGCTTGAAGGCAGTAGAACCATTACAATTATGATTGATGACGTCTCCCTTATGGAAGTGGCGGCTAATGGTTCATCAAATCACATGTTGGATTTTCTGCACTACTGCTACACTTTGAAAGCAAAATATGTGAGCAACTGTATCCGCTTTTACTTCGTGTCTAATTTACAATAATGTGAGCTACAACTTATCAACAAAAAAAGAAAATGTTGTTTGGGGGACTTTCTTAATATTGTTTTCATCCAGGGCTGTTCCCTTGTTACTCTTAATCACAAGGATATCTATTCCAGTGCAAATACACTGCCATTGATCTTGCAACTGGAGTACCTTGCGGATGTGATAATCAAGGCAGAACCTTTGGCAACTGGTTTAGCAAGTGACGTGCATGGGCAGGTTAATCTTTATTTTATCCCTTTCCCTATATTCAT